GCTGCAATTATGACATTTTCCATGGTGTCTCTTGTGAATTCCACTTCCTTCTTTCCCATGGCGTTTTCACAGTAGACACACATTGATTCCTCCTTCTGGAATTGCACCCTGATTTTCCTTTGGGAACCCTCCCCACCTCTCAGGGCCATGTGGATTGCTTGGGACTGACCCTATCCTATAGCTCCAGTGGCAAGCCCACTCTTCAGGCCTGGCTAGCGGAACATTCCTGGCCGCGGCGATTGGTTCGGGGATATCCCTGTGCCTAAGCCTGGGCCAGGTGACCATTCCTGAGACTTTTGCTGGAACCCCTGGGAAAGACTTTGCTTTCCTTGCTGGGATCGCCAAGCTGGGAGAATGTAAGCTTGGAGCTGCTGGGGGCCACCTTGTCTATCTTACGGCAGAGCCTGCCACCAAACCAGGATGGCAGAATGCAGAGCTGGAGAAAGACACACAGTGTCCCGTTGATGTTATTAGAGTCCCTGGATCCAGCTATGCCTTATGTATGTTGATTATGAGGGAAGTTGATTAACATTTCATATATATTTCCCCTTCTGTGAAGTGTTGTTCATGTCCTTTACTGATTTCTCTACTGGGCTGCTGGCATTTTTCTCATGGATTTGAAGGACCATTTTTTTTAGTATTTATTTTTTATTGAGGTCAAATTCACATAACATAAAATTAACCATTTTAAAGTGCACAACTCAGTGGCATTTAGTCTATTCACCATGTTGTGCGACCATCATCTTTATCTAGTTCCAAAATGTTTTATCATCATCAAAGAGACCTCGTACACCTTACTAAGCAGCCACTCCCTGTGCCCCACTCTCCCTAGTCCCTGGAGACCACTCGTCTGCGTTCTGTCTCTATGGGCGTATCTGCTCTGGATATTGCATACAAACGGACTCATACGTGACTTTTTGTATCCTTCTTTTACTTAGCATAATGTTTTTGAAGTTCTTCCATACTGTAGCAAGCTACAGTAAGCTCTGAAATATTAATATTAGTATTAATATTTCACTCCTTTTTACGGGCAAATAATACTCCAGGCTGTGGATAGACCCTGTTTTGTTTATTCACTCCACCGCAGACATCTGGCTACTGCGGATAGTGGTCCTATGAACATTCATGTACAAGGATTTGTTTGAATTGTATTTTAGAGAAATTAGTCCCTGGCCTACGATGAGTGTTCCCAATATTGTTTCTCATTTTGCCATATGTCTTTGACTTTGCTTTTGTCAGGCAGAATTTCAAAGATATTGTTACGGAGTCGAATTTATCAGCTTTTCTGGCTTATGGGTTTTGCGACACAGTTAGAAAGGCCATCCTTAAACTCAAGGTTATAAAATAATTCTCCCATCAAAGCCTCTGCTTATCCACTCATTTCTTTACCAGTAAAAGAGGGATTAAAAACAGCCCTACTTACCTCCCCCAGGGTTATTGTGAGACCCAGTAAGACAAATGCTATGAAAGAGCCTCACAAAGTATAAAGCAATATATACACGCAGCCATGCTATCATCATCGCTGTTAATTGTATCAAATTCTGGCACTTACAAAGCTGAGTTCTGTTGTTGCTTTCGCTTTGCAGAGCAGAGATTGAGGGACAGTCTGAGCTGGCTAAGGATGCATTAGTTGGTAGCAACCGGGAGAATGTTGCAAAATGAGTCATCTTGGGGAGGGGGGAGGTGTTCCTATTTGACCAGAAGAGTAAGATTGCCTTAAACCAGAAACTGTTCTGGTCACTCTCCCTTCAAGTGGAGGCTTTTTTTTCCTACCAGGAAAAGAAACCAGTTCAGTGGGTTTTGCATTGTTCAGTTGTTATTGTAATTTAAGCCTCACCAATGGCCATTTGTGACATGTTTTCCTTATATTTTTAACCCCAAATTCTTTTTTTTCTAATGGAAAACTTCGGGTCGAAGGCTGTATTGAAACAAATGTAATTATAAGGACTGAAAAAATATGTTAATACTTGACAGCAATTATTCCTATGATGATGCCTCTGGGATAGAATCCTGTACTGGTTAAGTTCTCCCGCTCTGATATAGGTCAGACTTGAGCTTGAAGCAATTCACTTACTAGCTAGTCGTGTGGTCTTGGGCAAATTGCTTCACTGCCCTGTGCCTCTGTTTCCCCAGCTTTAAAACAAAGATGATTATAGCACCTGACCATTGGGTTGTAGCAAGAAATTCGTGATATAATCTACATAGTGTGCTTGGCCCCTTGCCTATATGGAGAGAGAACTTGATAAATATTAGCTATTAGTGTAATTCAGGAATATCTAAAAGAATTCAGGAATTGAGGCCCAGGGAAATGGAATATACCCTTCCAGGGGGTATTCTGAACCTTGGTGGGGGGTGGCACAGGTCAAATCACATGGTAGAGCCCCCCCATGCCACATTCACTTGGGGAGGAATCTGGTTTGTGTTACTACCATGTGAAGGGGAAACGCCAGAATGGCAGCTGGTTCTCACGCAGCGAGGAAGAAGTGGCCACGCAGAGGGGGCTGTCACAGAAGGGCAGCTGGAGGGCTGGGTGGGCTGCAGGGGGATTAGAAGGGAGAGGTTGAGGCCGTGGTGCCGGGGGCTTGCCCGGGTCACACCGCCCCTTCTTGGCGATAGATTCGGGATGACGCGTGTTCACTGTGCGTGGTGATGGATTTGCAGGAGGCTCAACGCTTTTACTCTTCTTCCCTTTTTCTTCTTTTCTCTCTTCCTGCTCCCAAGCCAGGGATTTGTGGAGCCTGAGCGCCAGTCCTAGGCCAGCTTGGCTGGGCCCTAACAAAGAAGTTACATCCGTGGGACTTCTGGTCTACACCGGGCACTTTAACTCCACGGTCACCCTGGGTCCTATACAGTGGGTGGGGTCCCCATTGTTTGACAGACGAGGAAGCTGAGCGGCAGAGAAGGCAGGAAGCTACCTGGGCCCCCACAGCTGGGGTGCAGGCAGCGAGCACGTAAATCACTGACCGTCTTACTCCAGGGTCCGTCTCTTGCCGGCCTCCAGCACACAGTTCTTTACCACACTCGGCTGCGGTTTCATGTGGCTTTTTGTGACATTTCCGTGGCTCAGCGCCCTACGCATGGGTCTCCTATTTGTGGGTTTTAAATTTTAATGATGGCGCCAATAGCTGACATTTACTGAGTTCTTGCCACCAGTGGGCACGCAAGCAGGCTAAGTCGCTTGCTCAAGCTCTCAGGAGCTCAAGGCTCGTGGCAGAGCCAGGAAGGAATCCGGTCTGTCAGATTCCCGTAATCTCGCAGAATCTAGGCTTGAGGCAGGGATGCTGATCTCGGAGCATACCTGTCTCAGGTAACACATGAGGCTTTTGCTGTTTTAAACTAGTCAGAAGGGGAACAGCAGAGGGCCTGAGCGTGGCTGGCGGTGGGGGGAAGGATGAGGGTGGGGCTGCGGGCTGCTGGCATCTCCTCCTGAACTCTGTGACCTCCAGTCTCTGAGCACGAAGCTATAATAAGCCCCGTGATTCCCCAGCTGGACTCTCCCTGCGCTTTTCCACCTGTGGCCTGCGCGCACGCTGCGTGCTCCACGGGGATATCCCGCGCCACCTCCCTCCCCTTGCCATGCCTGCATGGGACACCCATGACAGCTACTGCCCTTCTAGGGAGTCTCGATGGACTGGCATGGATAGCCTGTTCCTTTCTGAGTCCAAATCAAATCATGTATTACATACTCAGAAAAAGGCACCTGAAAGACTATACTTATTTTGAGAAATTTGTGAAAATTTCTCTCAGGGGCTGCTCAACGACCAATACATGTTAGTGACAATCTCAGCATGTGAAATTGCAGCAGTCAGCGACCCTCTAGTGTTTGAGCCCATTTTTAGACAACGAATCTTATTCTACCTTAAGCACACGTGCAATGGGTTTGCTCTCCCTCGTAGACTGCAGGGGCCTTGGAGCAGAGTCTGGTGTCAGCCTGGGTTGGGGTGCTGGTGACCTCGAGTAAGTCACTTCCCATCCCAGCCCCCACTCCTTCCTCTGCGAAAGAGGGACGCTTATACCTATGCTGTTAGGTGGCTGAGGGATATGGTGGGGTCACAATAATTGCTACCATTCGTCGAGTGCTTACTTGGTGTTGGGCACCGTGCTAAGCGTAGCTTTGCATTCTTATTTGATCCTCCTAAGAGCTCGCCTCATTCCTGATGTCCCCTACCCTGCAATATTTTTTCCCCATAGCACTTATCATTTTTTACAATATTACGTAATTTACTCATTATGCTTATTTTTTATCTTTCTCTCCCAGGGCCTCTTCCCTCACACAACTCCAGCGGGCACCATTCACAATGCATACTGCTCCAGGGCCGCTTTTACCAAGAATATTGGCATGAATGGTGTTGTGTGATGCGGAACTCAGGAGCTCCGGAAGGGCAGGGATTTTTGGGGGGGCGGGGGGTGCCTATTTTGATCACTCCTTTATCCCTGTGCCCAGAACTGTGCCAGACGTACAGTAAGCTATCAGTAAATATCTGTTGAAAGAATGAATGAAAGAGCCCTCAAAGACAGCCCATTTTATTGGCTAGGAAACTGAGGCTCAACAAGCCACCGCCCCAGTGTCTGCTGCCGGTGTGCCTGGGCCTGTTCTCAATGGCTTTGCTAAGCTGTGTGCCTGAAACTCCTGGCATTGTCTCTGCCACCAAGTAATTGATCGACACATGTTAATGCCTTTCTCTACGTGGGTCAGGCCTTCTGCTAGACTCTCCAGGCAGAGTGACATACTGTCGTGTAGTCATTAACTTGAGAGATTGAATTAAATTGCGCAGTGCAAAAAAAGGGGATCTTTAGTTTTGGGGAGAAAAATCCCTAACCCAAGGCTAATGGTTGGAGTTTGCAGGAGTCTCTCAGGCCTTCCCAGCCCAATTCTTTTTCCTGCTGCCTTCCCTTTTGTGAGCATTTCTTCTCCTTTTTGCTTGCAGTGAGTTCTGCTCTCCTGTAGGCTACAATGTGTCAGTTGTTATAAAATCCGGGAGGCGGAGTCTAGTGACGAGAGCGGTGGGGGAGAGCTGAGCCGGCCCTGCAGGGCTAGCAGTCCAGCCCTGGGTTCACCGGAGCTGAAGCGTTTACAGCAGGGAAACTTCCATCCCGCTCTCTGGCTTTCATCCTCGCGGACACCAGACCCGAGGCTCCGAAGGGAGGGAGGATGCGAGATGACCGGCCCTTTGGCAACCTGACCATCGACTCAGCAGAGCCTTCGAAAGCGAGCCAGGGGCTGGCTGCACCACCAAGGAGGCGCCGCGCCTCTCGTGGATGTGTGTGTGTGAGTGATCGAGTGTGTGTGCTGTGAGTGAGTGAGGGTGTGTGCGTGTGTGTAGGTGCATGTGTGCACATCACAACTGTGTGTAAGCGCGTCTGGATGAGTGTACGTGTGCACGGGTGAGTGCGTGTGTGTATGTGTGTGTGAGTGCTCTTGGTTATTATTATTATTGTTTTTTTTTTTGGAAGAAAAATCTTGAAAATCTGGGGCAGGTTACTGTGCTCCTAGGGTGATCCTTCTTTTGCAAGAGGAGCTGACCAGGGCAAGCTACTAGAGCCATTTCTTGGCGAGTAAAGAGAATTTTCCTCCCAGAAGGAGAAGGATTTTACCCCTGCTCTGCAGCCAAAAGAGAGATTAGCCCCTAAACCTGTGAAATCGACCAGAGCCGTGTGATTACCAGGGCTTGAGAGAGGACTCAGGAAGAAAAGGAGAAATAAATCAAACAGCCTGTCAGTTCCTTTGGCCACGGAAGATGTCATCTCAAACTAAGTTCAAGAAAGACAAAGAGATCATTGCCGAATATGAAGCCCAAATAAAAGGTGAGATGCTGGCTGGGAGAATTTCCCTTCTCCTCCCCTTTCCTTTTTCTCTCGCTCTGGCTTTTCCCCCGTTTTCCTCCCTGCCATCATGAAATGTTGTTATGCATCAACAATCTTATTGTGAGGAGGAACGGCGGCAGCCGCACAAGTCCGGACTGGTTTCAACTGCAGATAGCGCTAGGCTGGGAGTGTGGATTATAGGACGGGCAGCAATCTCTGCATTGCAGGTGTGTGAGGAGGATCCTACGCCCGACTTCAGGAGTGTCGCGGGTACTCCATCATCTTGGCGGTGACATGTCACTCTAAGGCTATTTTGATAGTCACTGCCTCCACCCCATTCCTGCCACGGTACAGGCTCCTTAATACTGGTGTATATGTTTAACGATCTGCTTTTTGTCCCCTCCCCCCCTTCTGTTTTTGTTGGTGGTGGTGATTCGGCCTCCGCCTCTTTCCCTGGGCTGGAATTCACATGCATGTGCGCAGGGAGGCAGCCTCCCTGGGCGGTACTTCTTTGTCGGCGTCTCCCGGCTGGCCTGGCTTGTCGTGGATTAACTGTTATGGGGCATATTGATCCAGACTAATGCAGGCATTTAGGCATAAAGAGGGAGCTTGGTGCGGAAAATGTATTATCTCGCGGTGTGCAGCCCAGTCTGTCCGTGCGCCAGCGTTTGGGGTCATCAGCTTGCATGCAAAGCCAGCACCTCCGCGTGCCGTTCGGGCTGGTCGGCTGGTCGGCGCTGCCTGGCTTCCGTGCTGCCAGGGGAAGCGGCGGGAGGGTGCGATGGCCTCTGGCTGCCGGGTCCAGCTTTGACGCTACCGGGTGCACGCTTCTTTCGGAAGCCGCTCCCTAAATTCAGCCAGCCAGGAAAAGGGACACCATTGCACAGCCCACTGCTGGCGGGGGGAGTGCCCCTCAGGCCGGACTGGGGGCTCTCCCAGGCACACACGTTCTGGGCTGCGCTTCTGCCAGGAAAGCCTCAGCGCTGCATCCGCCGTGCTCGCCCTGTCTCCGAGGATGTGCCCTGAGGGAAGCTGTGCCTCGGGGTCTGTTTTCTCTCTGGTCGTGGTTCTCCTTGCTGCGACACAGGGCGTGCTCTTTCCTCATAGAAAGAGTAGAGAGAGAACACATCTTCAGTGGACGTTGAGGCCTGTCCCTGCGGTTACACATGGACGGTTGAGCAAGCTGGCTATTTGGGGCTCGGGTGACCTGCGGGTGCCACACCTGCTTCTAGGCGCCGCTGCAGCTGAAGACTCAGCGACCCAGGAAGCCGATGGCCTCCCCAGGAGCGGCGGGAAGGCTGGGCATCGCAGCTGCCGCACACACTGCACATGCCTGCGAACTTTGGGAGGGCACCAGCCACAGCGGGAGGGCTCTGTTTTTGTCCCCGGCCTAACCAGCAGTCTTTTGCCTTTTAGTGCTAGTCAAATCCTGCATGTTCGTCACCTTTGGGTAGACTCGAGGGCAAGAAGAGCAGAAAACCCTCCTCTGCCCTGGTCTCTTTCTCTCAGTTTGCAGTTGAGTGTACTAAACGGTGACTTGTGATGTCTTAACCTTGCTGAAAATCTAGCAGGAAGCCCAGAAATTTGAATTCGCCTGAGTGCTCAATACAAAAGCCTTGTTTTAGTCTTTGAATGGACTCTTTTTGGGGAGTTTATGTTTTATCAGATTAATTTGGCTGATTATCATTATTATGTTAAAATTGACTTTGCCGTGAAAAATGCCACGATAAAAAAGGGGTTGTTGAGTTTTGGACAGTTCAGGTTTTGTAAGCGTTGCCTTGGTAGGAGATGTGCCTATCTCATTTTGGAAGGATTGCTACAACCGGGCCGGTGAACTTTACTCGAGGGCCAATTAAACGTTGATTACATGGGCCAGTTCTTTCACTTTTTACCTTTCACCTTTATTTTAACAACTAATCAGCAAATACCGTGAATTTCATCAGGAATGCATCAATCACCATGCTCAAATGATTTTGTCTCTTCCAGACTCTAAATTTCTCTGCATTGTGATTAAAGGAGTTTAATTTTATTTCTTTAGAGTTGACACCCACAAGATTTAGGTCAGGATACTGCTGTCTCCAAAACTCTCTGAAATATTTTCTTTTAGAATTCTGTTTGTTGTGAATCATCATCGTAATTATTGATGTGTGCACAGGGCTCTACAGTGTCTACGGCTTCCTCCCAGGTATCGCTACTCTGGGCCTACTACAGACGGGTTCACGTGAGCTCAGTTTCGGAGATGAGAAACTGAGGCCCAGTAACATGAAACGACTTGCCCGAGGTCACAAGGCTGATTTTCTCCCAGGCCTAGTGTTCCCTGATACATTGTTTGCCTGAAGCTGCCCCTGGAAGGGTTGATGTCGGCAGCAGATGGCAGTTTGTGGTGGGTTCTGGCTGCCTCTTGATCAAGTTCCATTGTTTCCTCTCACTTTTCATCCGGGTCGCCTTTGTTGCATGCCTCCGAGGAACGTTTGACCAATCACCAAAAACAATGCCTCAGGCCAATTACTTTGCCCCCTGGGTATCATTTGGCTAGTTTGGTGCAAATAGTCTACCTAGTTAGACAGATTTTGTACATTGTGAATTTTGTGAAGGGAACTTTTGATTTTTCAAAATGGTGCTAAGTTCTTAGTTGACTTATCGTCTTTTATCTCTTTTTCAAGTATTTACTGGCTTACCAAAAGGGAATGTTTTAGAAGAATATTTTTTCTATTATAAAAATTTTTAGACTCCTGCCTTCTCTAGCCACATCAGATACTTGAATTCCTTTGATTATATACCTGCAAAGCAGCCGTAAACCGTATGCTTGCACATTTTTACAGATGGGGAACTCACCACCTCCCAAGCTCACGTATTATATCTTTGGACAGTTCTGATTCTTGTGCTTTTTCTTACGTTGTGTTAAATATGTCACTCGTCCACCTATTGATTTTATAGTTCCTTCCCCTTGGGATTTCATGGAACAAGACATGTACTTCTTCTCCATGACTTCCCATGTCATTGGGTGTTTGGAGCCTCTGATTATAGCCCGCACTTGCTTGCATAAGATGGTTCACTGCTACTTAGCATCTTCACTGTCCTTTGGATCTACTGCATCCTGGGTTGCAAACTCCAATGTCTTTAGGTGCTCAGCAGATAGAGTAAATGAGTGAAGGTGGCCACGCGAGATGATTTGTGGCAGCTGGTCCACCGCCTCAGTGGGGCAGTAGAGGAGGGATGATGATTATGGTGGCCCTGAGAGCATATGTCCTGTCTAAATGGACAGTCACTACTTGGATTCAACCAGTTGTTTTTATTTAGGAATGTAGGCTCAGACAGATCTTTAAAGTTTTCAACAGATGCCAGAAATCTGGGTGAGAGTTTTGTTTTTAAAAAGATTTTGCCAAAAGGACCTCCAAAAGATCATGTTATCAATATCCTACTTCAAGAGTGGTATTATACTAAGTTCTAAATGTGATTCTCTAGATGTGGTCAAAGAAAGAAAACTGCTATCACCTCCTTTATTCTGTCTGTAGTACTTCTATTGATATTGCCTAAGGGTCGAATTGGCCCTTTTTGTTGCTTGTCCCCTCTTGTACCATATAAATTATGTCTGCTATATTTTTTTAATCTGCTAGGCTAGGAGCCTTGTCAGAGAGAAGAAAATGAAATGAATTTAACATGACTGTTTTTGGTGACCCCGTGCTTGTGCCAAACAGACATTGCTTCCTGTCCTAGGTACTCAAAAGTGTCCCTTTACAAATCTGTTCAAGAAACTTGCCTGAGAGTGACATCACATTATCTAATCTGGAACTGGCAAGCTTTAACTTCCTTCCCCTTTTGAAAATCAGAGCATTTGCCAGTCTCCAGCTTTTTGGCACCTATCCTATTCTCCACAATGACCTCAAAGATCGCTGACAGTGTTGGTGATCTTATCTGTAGGCATTCTCAGTGTCCTGGCCTCTAATTCATCTTGCTGGCAGATGTAATGGTCTGTTCTGCATTTATTCAGAGTTCCTATTTCCATTTCAAACTAATGGAAAATTGAAATAGAAGTGCAACGGTTGACTTTAGCATTTTATTTTTATTCCATATCCATATTCATTTTAGGCTGTCTTCTTAATTGCAAAAGTCTAGAATTTTGAGGAACAAGAGCAGATATTGAGAGTAATCACAGAGGTGCATGTATTTACTCATTCATTTATGCATTCATACAACAAATATTGATCATCTTGTACTTAGACTCGTGCTGGGTATCGTGAGAGGTGCAAAGTATATGATATGTTCTTTGCTTTCTATACGTTTTTTTGGAATACGGTGATAAAATAAGAGAAGGAAATAAAAAAAAAACAAACTCCAAAACACAAAAAAGACTTCCAATTGAACACCAGAATGAGCTCAGTCTTAAGGACAGTATACCACACAGTGATTGGAGGACTTCCTCCGGAATGCTCACTGATTTCAGTAGGATACAATGGGGAGAGCAGGCTGGGTTGGGGAATAGTGGGGAGTAGTGGGGACTGTGGTCAAGCAGGGAGTTCATCCAGAGAACGCAGCTGCTGCTCAGCTCCAGACTGTCATTGCCAGGCAGGAATATGAGCCCAGAATGGTCAGTTATTTCAGTGTTTAGAGGGAATGTGGAGTCTTAAACAAAATCTCCTAGTTTTTTAATATCGACTGGAATTTTTAAAAACATTATGCTGTCTGCACAAACATGTCAGTAGGATGGGACAGTTTTGGTCTATGGGGCCACCAGTTTGCAACTTGTGGTCTGTAAGTTGAAGTCCATGAAAGTCCTTGGTGAGGGGGCTTCAGCCAGTTTTCCTGTTTCATCTTCAATCATTCGCTCTATGGTAGGCCTGTGCACTTACAACCACACTAGACCGGTCCCTTTTCTCTAAATCCTCCACACCTTTTTCCACCTTCAGCTCTTTCCCCATTTGTGTCTTTGCTCTGCTTAAAATGCTCCCCTCTTCATCTGCTCAAAATGCACCCCCATCACCCTCCAATGCCTGCTCAAA